CTAATATAAATTCAAGTAAACATCATTACATAAAAGGGTACGGGCTTTTTTTTTTTTTTTAGGTTTATTCATTTCAAAAGGGGCGGATCCGGCCCGCAGTTTGGCCACGGCTGATCTCAAGCTCTTTCCTGGCAGCCCAGCCCTGGCATTGCCCCGCAGAAGTAAATTTTGGGGGAGGCAGTCGGCTGAGTGCTCAGCTTCTGGAAGCCAGAGGTCTGTCCAAATGTAGTGGGATGACTTGACGGAGTTCCTTTCCTCTGGGCCACAGCCTCCTGGTCCACAAGGAAAATGAGCCCCTGATTCCCTAGAGTCTACTCATCTGAGACTCTGAGATTATCTCCCCAACGCTGTCTGGTGGACCCCCAGAAGGGAAACTGAACACAAAAGTAGTTATTTGGTCAGAAGTCCTGAGTTTCTGCAGTGACTATGGCTGGTCAGTGACCCTAGGATGCAGCCCTGGGCTGGTGCGAAGGCAGAAGTAAGGCTTTTTCATATATATTCTTTGAATTAGTTATATTTTTTGCTGCATAACAAATTATCCCACATTTTGTGGCTCAACACAACAAGCAGTTATTATCTCACAGGTTCTGTGAGTCATGAATCTGGGAGTGACTTGATGGTCCTGGCTCAGCATCCTTCATGAAGCTACAATCCAGATACTGGCAGTATGTCCTGTCAATCATGTCCAGGCTCTATGGAGGGGTCTATGTCCAAGATCACTCATGTGGGCCATTGGGCTGCCTCACAGTATGGCCGCCAACTTCCCTCTGAGCAATCTAAGCAAGAGCAAGAACAAGGTCTCGAGACAAAGGTCATGAACATTTTATAACAATCTCAGGAGTGATAGGTATCCCAGCACTTTCGCTGTATTCTAGCCATTAGAAGCAACCAATAAGTCCGGGCCACAGTCAATTGGAAGGGATGACACAAAGACGGGAATCCCAGGGGGCAGGATCTTTGGGCCATCTAAGAGTCTACCCACACACGTAGACCAGCATCACTTCTCCCCACATGTCTGCCCATCACCACAGCACAGTGAATCCAGCGGCCTCTCCTTGATTTACAATCCCTTTTCCCTTTCAGGAGGCTTTTGCTTAGAGTTGCCAGATTTAGCAAATAAAAAGATAGCATAAAAAAGAAAAAAGAAAAAGCATAAATATGTTCCAAATGTTGCATGGGGGCATAGCTAAACTAAAAATTATTCATTGTTTAATTAAACTTTCATTAAACTTTCACTGGGCATCCTGTACTTTATCTGACAACCCTACTTCATGTCTTTTTAAACTAGATCCCAACAGGATAAAAATGCATGTGCATTAGGGATGGAGAGAGGGCCTTGGGAGAAGCCTAGGGTCAAAGACTGGAAACTTCGTGCTCCTTACTCTATGGTGCAAAGCAGGAGCTGGACTGGGAAGAGCCACAGAAGAGATGGGAGGAATATCGGGGCGGGGGAAAGGAAAAGGGAGACCGGGGAGCTGGGTGCTTCTCTTGAAGACCCTAAAAAGGAGCAGGGTGTTTCCTCCGGAAAGGCCAAGGCAGAGAGGAGTGGAGGTAACAGTAACCATGGGGCTCAGAATAGGTGATTGTGTGCTTAAAACCAGAACACAGGAGGCAGGACCCACCACATAAACTCCTGGGCATGCTCTCTTCAAGGAGGGCAGGAAGGAGGGTAGAGGGTGGCTGGCTTTAGACACCGTGAGCTCCCAGTTTTGAATGCCTCTGAGACAAGCTGGAATGTCTCCCACGGAGAGTACTCCCAGGCACCCAGAGGGCCATGCTGGGCAAGCCTGAGGACTGACTTTGTAATGTCCCCAGGGTAAGGGTGCGGCCGTCCGTGTGAGGACTGAGAAAAGACGAGCTGGTGGCTGCCTGGCTGAGCCCTGGCCTGTCCTGGCCCACCCACGTCAGAACCTGGGAAGGTCTCTGCTCAGTCCGAGGGAGACTCCAGCAGCCCCAGCCCTGCCTCCCAGCCAGCAGATCCCAAAGAACCCCAGATCCATTCTTGGACCCATTTCACAGCAGTTTAGGATCATGCCTGCTTTTCTAAAGGAAGCCCTTTCATCCACAGACCAGAGGGGTTGTGCAACTGGCAGGCAAAGAGTCGGTCAGAGAGACTTGAACAAAGCAAGCGAGGACTAGCACCACTGCCATCTGTTGGTTAGGTTTCTGGGCCTCGGGCTTGCTCCTGGGGCCCAACCTGGGCTCCGTGTGTACGAGGATCTTCCTAGGAATGTTTGGCTGGAGACGGGTTTCTTTGTGATGCTGGGCTGAGCTCCAGTCTGTTCTCCAGAAGTCTGAGTCCCCTGACCCCTGGCCCCTGCTGCTGCCTCTCTAGCTGCCATTGACTCACAAAGGACAGATGGCCCAGCAGCCCTCCCGGGAACAGCTCCCAGGACACAGAGCTCAGCTAAGAGCAGGACCTCGCCTCTGTGCTGCTTTACAGTTTACAAAGCACTTTCACATCCATTATCTGATTGACTTTCAGCAGCCTCCCTGTGATGTCAGTTTCATCATCTCCATTTTACAAAGAAAGGCACAGGCTCAGAGAGGTAGAGTCACTTGCCAAAGGTCACACAGCGCTTGCCTAGAGGAGCCTGGAACTCAAACCCTTTTCCCTAAACACTGAGTCATTGTTTTCCTCACTGCTCTACAGCAACTGAAGAAGGGCGGGAGCTGAAGATCAAGCCCCCTGCTGCTGCTGCTAACTCACTGTGTGTGCCAGGGTTTCACAGGCCGGGGAAGACTGGGAGGGTTGCTGGCTGTGCGGTCAGGGGGCTGGGCTGGACAAGGGACACATTTACCCTTAGTCTTTGGTCAATGCCTGGTCAAGAGGGTGAGGGGAAACAAGTGGTATAGGAGGGCGGCCAGAGGTGAAGCTGGGTAAATAGTACAGAAACTCTGAGATAAGCAACTGCTTAAAGGAACCACTCAGGAAGATACTGTGTGGCCTTGAGCAACTCACCCTCCCTCTCTGGGCCTTGTCTGTAAACCCAAAGGTGATACCGCATTGTCTCTAACTCCTTCTCAGATCTAAACTTCTGCTGTAGTCTCTTTCCTGGGGGCCCTGGCGGTGCCCTGGCCAGGAAGGATCAGGTGTGCTAGCCCAGGAGGGCACTTCTTCAAGGTGCCTTTGGGGACAGACACCTTCCGCCACCCTCCATGAGCTTGGCCTTTGTGAGGTTGAGGAGTTGTGTTTATTAAGCTCTAGCATCTGCTTAACTCGGGAGGCAGGAATCCTTGGCCTGAGCAGTGATGGTCCCTCTGCTAACACCGCCCACCATCCCCCTCTTTCCTCTTGCAGAGAAGGGGCTGGATATCCCCCTCATCGTTGGCATTTGTGGTGGAGGCGTTTTCTTCTTACTCTTTGTGGCGCTCCTCATTCTCTTCATCAGCAAGAGGAAAAAACAGCACAGAAGGGAAAATGGTGAGCCCCCTCTTCCGCTCCCCTCCCCGTCCCTGCAGGCCTGGGCAAAATCCCCGTGGAAACGACTCGTGGGGAGGACACTTGCGTCTGGATTCGGCAGTTTCAGAATGTCGGGGCTGTAACCGGCGGTTACAGTTTGTTCCATTTTGTGGTTAGCTTGATTTCTGACAAACAAATTCTCAGTGGCAACCATGTGGGAGCTTTAAGAAGCTGAATCCAGGTTGGCCCCATTGGCGTCCACCACCTGAGCCGACTCTGCGTAAGGCGGTGTGGACGTTATTTATGTATTTATGTATTTATTTGTTTACTTATGTATTTATGTATGTACGTACGTATGTATTTTTTCCCATCACCTTTTATCCCCTCTATGCCCTCTTCCACCTCCACCCTTCCCCCTCTGCCCCCTGCAATCACCACCCTGCTGACCATGTGTGTGGTTATACTTGGAATAAGTCACACATCTCTATGTGGGTAGGAGCATTAGCTTCAAAACACATTTCTGTGGACACACATCTTGCCCAATCCTGGGGGGGGTGGCAGTTCCTAGGAACACGGGTAAAATTTCAGGGCCTCGGGGACCCGCAGGGACACCCTTGTTCTAAAACCAGGTGTTCATGCCTCCTTTTCCAATTCGCTGTTCAGAGAGATGTGCTCGGGCTCTGAGTGTTTGTCCCTCAAATCAGGCCTGACAACCCACCAAGATTAAAAAGATTATGCTCAGAAGTGGGGAGCTGGCTCAAAGAGCATGCAGGCCACCAGAGGCAGTGTGTCCTGATACAGTCGCCCTCCCATTCCATCCTCACCCCTTATCTGCAGACGACAGGCAAGAGAGAATGAAGGAATGTGTTCCAAGATGCCCAGTGGCTGCCTGGAACCACAGATAGTACCAAAGCCTGTACATACTATGTTTTTCCTACAAATGCATACTTATAATGAAGGTTCATTTATAACTTTAGGCACAGTAAGAGATTAACAATAATGACTAATAATCAAATAGATTATAACAATACCTTATAATAAAAGTTATGTGAATGGCTTTGTGGCCATTATTAAATAGAATAATGGTGACTTGAACACACGCACTGCGATGCCTCGACAGTCGATCTGATAACTAAATGGCTGCCAAGTGACCAAGGGAGCATGTACGGCGCAGATATATATATGGAGTAGATACACTGGGCAAAGAGATCATTCATACACAGACAGGACAGAGCAAGATTTCACCGCTATTCAGAACAGCATGTAATTTAAAATTTATGAATTGTTTATTTCTGGAAGTTTCCATTTAATATTTTTGCACTGCAGTTGACCATGGGTAAGTGAAACCGTGGATAAGAGGGGACTACTCTAATGGCACACCAGGTGTCTCCACAGGTGCTGGGGAGGACTGGGCTTGCTTCTGAATTCCTAAGAACCTATCCTCCAGCCCTCACCAGAATGTGGGTTGCATTAGAGCCGAAGTGAGTAAAAGGCAAATCTAACAGAGAAACCCGTGGGAATGAAGGTCATTACTGATGTGCCCTCCGCCCACTCAGGGCCTATGCGAGGGCTCTAACCACCAGGTGCTCAGCAAGCCACCTCTAGGACGACACAGAGGCCAGGATGAGGGGTCCGAGTGCCCTCTCTGCTCTCAGGAGACCCAGGCACAAAGGCCCCCACCTGTCTCCTCGCCTCTGGCTTCCCAAGTTCTCAAAGCCCCAGGCTCTCATTCTGCCTTGCTGGTGGGCATATCTGTCTGCCCTACAAGACTGGGAACCCTTAGAGCAGGGGTGGGGAACATCCGGCCCGAGGGCCTTATATGGTCTAGCCCTGCCAAGGCATTAGAAGTGAGTTAATGAAATGTTTGACCAAATACAGCAGGCTAATTTTTAAAAAATATATATTTTTCTTGCTGATAGTATTACAGATATCTCCCATTTCTCCCTTCTCTCCCCTCTCCTCCCAGCCCCCCTCCCCCCTCCTCAGGTCTTCACTACCTTATTGCCCGTGTCTATGGGCTATGCATATAAGTATATAAGTTCTTTGGCTTATCTCTTCTCATCCCCCCAACCCCACATTAAGGTATGTCAATCTGTTCCATGATCCCATGCTTTGGGTCTTACTTTTGTTGGCCAATTCATTTTGTTCATTAGATTCCACGAATAAGTGAGATCATGTGATATTTGTCTTTCTCTGTTTGGCTCATGTCACTTAGCATCATATTTTTCAGGTCCGTCCAAAGCAGGCTAATTTTTACATTGATAATTTTGAATGGCCCACGAACAATGCCATAAATATCCAAATGGCCCTTGGCAGAGAAAAGGTTCCCCACCCCTGCCTTAGCGGGTAGGGGCAGCTTCAGCCTCCTCATCATCTCCCTGAGAGCAGCTAGCAGACCCCTTGTGCAGAGAAGGGCCACTCGGTAAAGAGCCGCATCCATCATACCTTGCCAGGATGAGCTCTGACGTTTAGAAGTTTTGTTGTTGCAGGTGGAAAGCTGGAACTCAGAGCACACAGAACCACCTCTGAGGAAAGGAGCCGGAGGCCCAACCAAATTCCAGCCTCAGCTCCTCCCAAAGCAGCCGCGTCCCAAGCCCCTCCTCCACCTGGTCATCATCCCCAGGCACATGGTCCTCGCCCCCCGCCTCCTGGCCACCGTGCCCAGCACCAGCAGCAGAGGAGGCCCCTTCCTTGCCCTGGCGCCCCTGTCCACCAGCAGAAAGGACCTCCTCTCCCCACGCCTCGGGTTCAACCGAAACCTCCCCGTGGGGCCAGAGAAAACGCAAAACAGTCTTCTGGCAGAGCTGTCCCCGTCCTTTGATTCAAAGAGGTAGAAACTGTCCCTTCCCGGAAAGGCACCGTGGAGCTCCTGCACTCGGTGCGGACGCCTGCGCTTCTACCAGCTGCATCCGACAAGCAGGGCGTCATCACCTCCCGGGCTCCTGGCCCACAGCCGCACCTGCACAACCCTCTCAGCCACACAGTCTCACATCTGGAATCTGGCCTCCTCCTCAAGTGCCACCACACCAAGAAGGGAAAGACAATAAAAGTGCAATTGTTAGGATGATGGGTGACCGAGCACGAAACCCTGGAGCGCTCCTTGACACCCTGAGCGACATCCAGCAGCCGCTGTGCCCGTGTCTCGTTTACCAGCCACCTGTTTACCTCAGCCTGTTGCAGAGACTGTTGGGTTTCTGATGTGCCTGGTGGACACTTGCCTACCATCTCGTGAGTAGGTGTGAAATATAAGGTTTGACTTGACCCCAGTGCCTACTCATTATAGAAAGCAACCCAGCAGTGCCCGGCCAGTGTGGCTCAGTTGGTACAGTGTCGTCCCATGCACCAGGAGGTCGCGGTTTGATCCCCAGTAAGGGGCGAGCAGGAAGCAGTTGATCGATGTTTCTCTATCATCGATGGATGTTTCTTATCTCTCTCTGCCTCTTCCTTCTTTTCTAAAATCAATAAAAACTTAAAAAATAAAATAAAATAAAGGAACCCAGCATCAAGCTGCAGCATCAAAAAGAGACTTGTTGGTGTGGCAGCAGGACCACATTTGGTTCCCCCAGTTCACCTGGGTCCCCTCACCCACCAGAGCACCCCCACCAGAGCACCCCCACCAGAGCACCCCACCAGAGCACCCCACCAGAGCAACCCCACCAGAGCACCCCACCAGAGCACCCCACCAGAGCACCCCACCAGAGCACCCCCACCAGAGCACCCCACCAGAGCACCCCACCAGAGCACCCCCACCAGAGCACCCCACCAGAGCACCCCACCAGAGCACCCCACCAGAGCACCCCACCAGAGCTTGCTTCCCAGGGCTCAGATGCAAAGCTGGTCTGACAACTGACTTGGAGATTCGCTTAATGAATTGAAAACTCTCTGCACAAACTTCAACAAGAGGCACCAGAAAACATAATTCTTTGGGTACCACTTCCTTTACTGTTCAGACACGGTCACGACGATCTATAGCGGTGGTTCCCAGCGTGAGGCACTTGCCCCACAGAAGGGCAATCTGATTTTTAAGGGGGGCAATTCGAGAATGAGTTATTAACAGTGATTTTTTTTGCATTTCTTATGGTCCTAGGGGCCTCATATACAGTATATAAATATATTTTGTGACATATTTATGCATCTCAATTCTCTATTATATGTTTTGAAACGTTATTGCTATTTTTTCATATCACTTCATATCATTATGTTTTTTTATCAGTTTTTTAGTGATTTCTTCCTCAGTGCTTCAACTGTCCTTTCATTCTTTTATTTTTCTCTTTCATGAATGCCATGTTCTTTGGAAGCTTGTTTAGACCAAGTTAATTGCCTTTTAGGCTTCCTCCATGTGACTAAAAGTTCACTTTTTGAATAAAATTACATGTTACAGGGGGGCATCAGGATTTTAGAGATGCTTGGGTGGGGCATGGCCAAGAAAAGGTTGGGAACCACTGATCTATAGAGTCATCCTAGAAAACCCATGGATACTGGAGGTGCCGCAAGCCGATCAGATGGCATACAAAAGGGCAGGCCAGCGACAACTCGGCTGAATCAAATCCCATGTGTCTTCAATGACCATTGCTCAAAGGTCAGACTCCATCCCCAGCTAGAGTCATGCTAGCTGTACTTTGGGGGAAGTGGGAAGAACAAAACAGCTTTTCGTTACGGTTTTTCAACACAAGGCGGTGAGAAGGCACCCAATTTGAAATGTGGGTGCCATGGTTGTAGTCCCGTCCCGCCTTCGCCTGGCCCCTCTAACACTTGGTAAATCTTATCAGGCTCTGACAGGAAGCTCTGAGGTCTAAACCACAAAGTCTGTGCGCCTATTCAGGGCTTCCTGTGACAGCTTCCTGAGGGCTGAACTGCTTATTCCTTAGCACCCAGAGTCAATTATGAAGGATAATGATGGACGAAACCCCACAGCCTCCTGAAATTCACACAGGAAATCCAGCCAAGTAACGGTCATGGCAGGATCTACCTTCAGTAGGAGAGATGGAGATCTGAGCACTGCCCCTTTCTCATTCCTCATTTCAGTCCTGAGCCATTCCATCAGGCATCCTGCCAGAATGGCCTCCATCCCAGCCCTTCAAGGAGCCATCCCCGGCCTTTCCAGCTCCGTGCTGGGCCTTTCTTTTGAAATCCTCTAGCATTACATGTGATGCAGATCATATGCTGCCTGTAAGTATTCGATCTTTTGTTATTCATTCATTCAACAAACATTTACTGAACTTCCACTGCATCCCAGGCTCTGTACTAGGTACCAGGAACACAGGGGTGTACAACCAACTGTATCTTTACTTTCAAGGACCACACAACCTAGTTGGGGGAAGGGTGGACAACTTCCAGGATATGATAAGTATAGGTCAGAGGCAAGTACGGGAGCCCAGAGGGAAGATTTGGACTACAGATTAGGTGGTGGGGCTGGGGTGACACAGAAGGCTTCCTGAAGGAGGTGGCATTTGAATTAAGTTGTAATAGATTAGTAACATTCGTGAAACAGAGGTGCAGAATTACCCATGTGGAGGGAACAGCATGAGCAAAACTCATGTCAGCTACCTGTTCATACATGTAAGTTTTTCCTTATCTACTGTGTTTCATCAATTTGAAGATACCGTTGATTTTAAGTGGCATCATTATTCTACATACTATAAAAAGAAAACTTCTCAACTGCCTTATAACAAAGCTAAGATACACTCTTCCTTTAGGCAAACCCCATTTCTGAGATGTTAAAATGTGAAAAGATACACATTTTTATTTCATTTATTTAATTTTATTTTTTTATTTTTTTTTAATTCTTACCCAAGGATATTTTTTCCATTGACTTCTAGAGAGACTGGAGGGAGGGAGGAGGGGAAACACACACACACACACACACACACACACACACACACAATTGATTTGTTGCCTCCCGCTCCTCCTGGGGCTGAGGAAATTGCAACTGAGGTACATGCCCTTGACCAGAACCTGAGACCCCTTGATCTGCAGGCCAATGCACTAACCACTGAGAAAACCAGCCAGTGCTTTTTTTTTTTTAATCCTCACCCAAAGACATGCTTATTTATTTTAGATAGAGAGGAAGGGGGAGAGAGAGAGAAAGAGAAACATCAATGTGAGAGAGAAGCAGATCAGTTGCCTTCCTGATGGAGATCAAACCCACAACCTAGGTAAGTGCCCTGACCAGGAATCAAACCTGCGACCTGTCGGTGTGCAGGTTGACGTTCCAACCAACTAAGCCACACGGGCAAGGGCAAGACATGCATTTCAGAATTGATGAAATGCATAGTTAGTAAGCCTCTTGAGAACAAAAACCATAGCACTTTATAGAAATATCACTAGCTAATTGATTCAATGGGTGCGCACAGCCTTTAGGAAAGAAAGGGAAAGGAACACACGTGGCATTTATATATTTAAGACACACTCCCTGCACCGCTGGAATCTCCACCGTGAGGCAGAAAATGTGGGCCTTGCTCAGGATCTTTGCCGCCTTCATCCATCTATCTGACCTTGTGTGACCTAACACTGACCCTGTCCCCAGAGCATGGACTTCCTGAGAAGTGGTCAGACCAGTTGCGTAAGAACAGTGTGTGGAGCTTAGAAAAAAAAACAAAACAAGAATTTAGTAGGTGAGTTTGGGCCTTGAGCCACTGCACTTTTAATAACCTCTCTAGGTGATTCTGACTGGTGATTCTCACAGGCCAACTGGTCTTCAAATGGTTAATCATCAGTAACAGGTGAAATTTGAAGACGTTCTAGATAATATGGCATTGCAAGAAAAAGTGATAGCACAGTTAACAAATCTTCTGCTGGAAACTACGAACACAAGGGAGTCAGCTGGGTTGGGTAACAGTATCCAGGTAATTTGAGGGACTGGAACATCCTAGGGTGTCATATGAAGGCAGAAAATTCAGGGTTTTTGACAGCCTCCCTGCCCTCCATAAAGAGCCATCTGAGCCTAGCAACTGGGTCAGGCCAGCTCCAAGGGGGCCTGGGCTGTTGACTGGCAATTTCATCTCAGTCCTCCTTGATGAGGTCTCTAACGGGGCTCCTCGAGGCTCCCCGACGCTTGCCGGGCTGCGGCCACATGGTTCCTCGGGGCCACGACCCGCAGTGTCCCCCTCCCAGAGCCACTGCCCACACTTTCCACTTGTCCACACTCTTCTTTCGGGACTCAGGGGCCTTGCTGACTCCTGAGTTCTGCTGTGGCGGGAGCCTTGTGAAGCCATCTTGCTCTGTCTCACTGTGGTCATCTTGTCCAGAGCAGGAGGCAGCCCGTAGGCACTATAGCCAGAAGGTTCTACTCTCTCTCACTGGTTTTGCAAGCTCAAGACACTTACTCAGCCTCTTTGAACAACTGGTTTCCACATGTGTAAAATGGAGATAACACCTCACAGGGTTAGAGTGCGGATTAACTAGAAATACTGTATGAAAATGTAAGTAGTGTATCTTGGTGGACAGGAGACATATGATAACTGTGAGCTTTCCTTCTGGCTTGATACTTGAGAAAGAACACCCTGGATAGCAGACATAAGTGACCCAGTTATTGGAAAGAGGCACAGCCATTATAAATTCGCAAGTACTCTGTAAGGGGAATAGTGTGCTATGAGTTTGATTCACCTTAGTTTTCTAACATCAGCCACAGTGGACAGACGGACAAAACCTTATGTACCAGATGTGTTTTTTTTTAATATATTTTATTGATTTTTTACAGAGAGGAAGGGAGAGAGATAGAGAGTTAGAAATATCGATGAGAGAGAAACATCGATTAGCTGCCTCCTGCACATCTACTGGGGATGTGCCCACAACCCAGGTACATGCCCCTGACCGGAATCGAACCCGGGACCCTTCAGTCCGAAGGCCGACGCTCTATCCACTGA